GGTCCCGCGACGCCGCCTGGGCCGGGGGTCCTGGGACGTGGGGCCGCCCCCAGCAGGAGGGGCGTCTGGACCCGCCTTGAGCGCGGCCTGCACCCCCAGCTGCCTCCCTGGGCCGCCGGGTCCCTGCCGCCGCGTTCAGGGCGCACTTTTTCCCTGTGAACTCTCACCTGAGGGTCTTTTCCACGGACTTTCTGAGCGGAAGAGGGAGAGGGAAACGGCCACGTGAGGGGCACACCCGGGGGCTGCCTCCCGCAGGGCCCGACCGGGGCAGGGGGTCGAACCCGCAACCCGGGTACCTGTCCTTGACGGAGAATTGAACCCGTGACTCCTCGGTGCGCCCGCGATGCTCTGACCACGGCCCCGGCAGGGCCAGTGTAGGGTTTTGCCGGACGCCGGTGTCTTCAGGGTCCCGGGTGTCCCGCGTGGTGGTGCAGCTGGAGCGCCCGCCTGTGTCCTCGCTGTTTTGTCGAGGATCAGGGCGCGGGGATGGCGTGACTCGGTGTGTGGATGGAGGGCCAGGGCGCAGGGATGGAGGGCCAGGGTGCGGGGATGGCGTGAGGGGCGGGGACCGAATGCCGAGGGAGGACAAGGAGGAGTCCCTGGGGACGTGGCTCCGGGTCCATCCCAGCACCGGGAGCACAGTGGGGCAGCTGGGGCCGTAGTGGGTGTGGGGAGGGCACAGGCCCCACACACCTGGGAAGGGACATCAGGCTGCCCTCCAAGGATGGAGACCAGAGAGCAAGGCCTCGTCGAAGGGCCCAGTGGCACTTGGGTGCCAAGGACTTACGTGCAAAGGCATCAGTCCATCAGCGGTGTTAGCCAGGAGGGTGGGGCAGAAAGGAGGCACCAAAGAAGCAAGTGGTGGCATCTGCCAGCACTGCCAGGCCGGCTGGAGGAGCCGCTGCCAGTCCTGTCCCTGTGTGGCCCTGTGTGTGGGGGAGCTGGCATCCTGGTTCCTAAACCCCCCAGTGCCCCAGCTTGGCTGCTGACGGTACCCAGGCCTGAGGAGAGTGTGTCCAGGGCCACCACCTCGGGCCCCAGGTGCCAGTGGGTTTCTCTCTGCTGCTCCTCCCTGTAGAAACTGCCAGAGGAGGTGTGTGTGTGTGTGGGGGGGGCTCAGCTGCACCTGGAAGGACAAGCAGATGTTTGCCAAGTGGACACACTATGAGAGGAACAGGCTAAGGGCAAGAAGGAGGTAGAGTTCCTTTTGGGACAGGTGAAGTGTGGAGGTCCAAGTGGGGAGCTGGGGAAGCAGCTGGGCCCTGTTTCTGGCTCGGAGGGGCCCTGGAGAAGGAGCCCAGGGTGTGAGGGAAAGCTGGCAGGCCCAGGTGGAAGGGGCAGGTGTGGGCAAAGGCTGTGGCCATGGGATCCCTCACATGGCCGTGTGGACAGAGGGTTCCTTTGCCGCCAGTCCCAGGTACACCTAGGATGACGGACTTCTTGAGCACTCCTGCCTGAACATGAGCAAGGATGTGTCGTGTGTGCATGCGTGTGTGTGTGGTTACACACGTGTAAGTGCATATAGGTGTATGCATGTTTGTGTTAATGTGTATGTGTACACACATGTATGTGTGTGCACTCACTGTACTCAAGTGTGAGCACCTTCAGGGGTCACTGAGTTGGGAAGGTAGGAAGGGACTGGTGCCCTGCTGGGTGGGTTTGGGTGTTTGCTGGTGCCAGGCCCAGACCTCACAAAGCCTTGGGGTTGGGAAGAGAGCTTCCTGTTTCATAGGGGGAAACTGAGGCTGAGGAGGTCAGGTGGCTTAGCTAAGGTCCCAGAGCTCACAGTGCTGAGTTGGGATCTGGAGAGTGAGTTACCATGACTCGGGGGTAAGCCCTGATGCTGGGAGGGACGGAGACAGTTCTTGGAGCTGCCACTGTGGGCGCTGAGGAGGGGCTGCTTCCTTGAGCAGGAGAGACCAGAGCTGGAAACCCAGTGTCTTTGAAGAAGGAACTAGTACCATGCCTCGTGTGGGTCCTAGAAGCTGTCTTCTCAGCCAAGTGTTTGCTGGGATCCATCCAACAAGCAGCTCTCCTTGTCGGGGCCTGACGGCCGTGGACTGTGGCCTTACTTCCCCGCCTGCCTCTCCTCTCTCCCCAGCTTCTGGCCACACTCGCAGGCCATACCGCAATCCGGACCCAGGGAGCCATGGCGTCCAGGTGGACTCCCTGCAGTGCCATGGCTCCTCTTTCCCTCTGGCTCCTGGGCGTCATCCTTCTGATGGGTGTGTCTGCCCGGCCTGCCAACCACTCGTCTTCCCGGGACAAAGCAGGCCACAGGGAGGACAGTGAGATCCTGCCCCCGGACCACCTGAACGGGGTGAAGCTGGAGATGGACGGGCACCTCAACAAGGACTTCCACCAGGAGGTCTTCCTGGGGAAGGACACGGGTGGGTTTGAGGAGGATGCCGAGCCGCGGAAGAGCCGGAGGAAGCTGATGGTCATTTTCTCCAAGTAGGTGCTGGGCCGCGGGCCTTGGGGGTGCATGCCTGGTGGCCAGCATTGGCGGCCCTGTTGGTCCAGTCCTGGCTTTGCATGGTGTGTGAGGTGACGCGGGGCCTGCTTGGTGACGTGCTGTGACGTGTGCTTTTGGTTGACAACACTCGGGAAGTTAGCAGGGGTCGAGCTGAGGACGTGCAGCCTGAGCAGCATGCTGGGCCAGGAGGGGCTCAGAGGGCCAGAGCCAGGGCTGCCCCGTCCCAGGACCTTACAGCCGGAGGCTACGGGGTAGTCTGGAGCAGGGCCTGCCTCGTGCACAGTGGCCTCGAGCCAGTGTCTGCAGTGGTGAAAGGCTGTTGATCGTGGGAGTGGTCACAGCAGGTTGTGTTCAAGTTAGGTAAGGCCTGGAGGTGTGGGGAAGGCTGAGGTCATGACTGGTGCACGGAGCTGACTGGCGAGTGGGTGTGAGAGCTGGTGATGGGCACGTGTGTCTGGAAGTTCCTGGAATACCGGGTGAGAGAGTCAGGTGATGGGGAAGCAGGACCCATGGAGGGAGCAGACTGGGGGCACAAGGGGGCTTGGGCAGCTGCCGCCCTGTGCAGGGTGGTGGTAAGGAAGGGATGAGGTTGGTCTGGGGGGACCAGGCAGAGGATGGAGCGCAGAAGCTGTGGGGGTTATGCTGGGCATTTCCAGGCTGCAGTGCAGTGAGAACGCCAAGCCTGGGGACTGTCAGCATCAAACCAGTTCACTCACCTGGCACGTGTTGTGGTCGCCATGCACACAGCCATATGCTGGGGCAGGATGGGGTCCACAGGTCCTGGGCTCCACACCCAGCCTTGTGGGCTGCAGGTTCTCAGGGTTGTTGGTGATGTGGTGGCCTGCGGGTCATGTGCTGGGACCTGGAACTCATGATTGGACTCCAGGAAGGAGAGTGGGGGTGGTCGTCCAACCACGCTAAGCATATGCACAGATCGGTAGGCTGTGAGGTTGGACGGCCTGGGGCTTTGGGGCCGCCCGAGGGAGGTGAGGGGCTTCATGGCCACAATAGGAGCTGAGGATGAGTCCTTGACAGCTGGACTCTGTCTCTGTTCCACAGTCCGTCAGCCTCATGTCCTCACCTGTGAATCAGGTCAGTGAGCACCCTGCTTCCTGGGTGGGTGAGAGAGACCTGGCACACCCTGCCGTCCACCCACAAGGGGACCAAGAGCAGGGGCAGACAAGGGTGGAGAGCCAATGGAGGGTAGTGGGGCTGGGGGAGGGGGGTGCAAGACACAGGAGAGGCTGGGCAGGCCTTCTGAAGGTGGGATGGACAGGGTGCCTGTGAGCTTCCTGCAGGCAGAGGGAGCTGGGACAGCAGGAACCCGGGCATCAGGTCCACTGTCCTCGGCGTTGAGGGTGAGGTCTGGACACGGGGTGAGAAGTTGGAGAGAGGACCACGGCCAGATGAGGGCCTCTGAGGTTCACCACTCAGAAGAAAGGAGGAGTCAGAGAGGAGCCGCCACGGGCTGGAGGCCCAGAGCCCAGAGCTGGGACCAGCAGTTAGCTTGTCAAGCCCTCCTGGACAGCTCCCTTGCTGGACGTGAAGAACTGGGTACAGACAGGGTGTTGCTCTTTGTGGCAGTTTCTCAGCTGCCTGTGGAGCCCCCGGCCATCCTTGTGTCCTTCTGTCTGCCAAGTCCCAGGCCTTGTCCGACCTGCCCTTTTGCTTGCAGGGTGGATGTGAATGCTGATAGGAAGATCAGTGCCAAGGAGATGCAGCGCTGGATCGTGGAGAAGACGGCCGAGCACTTCCAGGAGGCCGTGGAGGAGAGCAGGGTGCACTTCCGCACGGTGGACCCCGACGGCGATGGTACCGTCCCCACCCTGACCTGACCCCAACGGTTCTGGGGGACCCTGACGGGCCTGGGGGACCGGGATGGAGGACATGAGAACCCGACAGGCCCTCGTGGGTGCTGCCTGAGAGGCCACCTCCCAGCTCGCTCTGTGGCCAGGATGGGGGCTGGATAGAGGTTGGAGCTGGCACCTGTGTATGTCTGTCTCCACAGCTGCCTTCAAATGAGGATTTTTTTTAATGTTTTTTTATTGATTCTTAGAGACAGGAAGGGAGAGAACGAGAGAGAAACATCAATCAGTTGCCTCCTGTATATACTCCAACCGGGGATCAAACCTCCAACCCCGGCATGTGCCTGACCGGGAACCGACCTGGCGACCACTTGGTGCCCAGGATGGTGCTCGCCCACTGAGCCCACCAGCCAGGCCGCTTGAGGATTTTCACAGACGCCTTGAAATGAGTGAATCTCTTTCTGAAAGTGTTTGAACGTTGTCAGAGCCCTAACAGGACGGTTTGCTCTCTCAGGCCGCGTGTCGTGGGACGAGTACAAGGTGAAGTTCTTGGTGAGCAGAGGTCACGACGAGAGGGAAGTTGCTGCGAAGGTGAAGAGCAACCAGGAGCTGAAGGTCGACGACGAGAGTGAGCGCCGGGCCCGGGCCGCAGTGCCGAGCGGGCAGATGCCGTGCGGGGGGATGCTGTGCGGGCGGGATGCCGCCGTATGGAGGCCCCCTGTGGGGTCGGGGCCCGGCAAGTGGGTGGGTGCAGAGACCAGGGGCGCTGGGGGCGCAGGTCCTGCCCCTCCCCTCCATTTTCAGCGCCGTCCCTCAAACACATCTCACTGGTATGAACTTGGCGCGTGAGGGTCCTGGCGGGTCCACCTTGGCACCAAGAGACTGCGCCCTTCACTGGTCACTGTCTCCAGCTTGCCACCCACCCTTCCTTGGGCATTTGCCCACAGCCAGGTGTGGGTTGGGCTTGTTGGGGGTGTTGTGAATGCACCACGTGGCGCCCGTCGGTCCTGTTCTTTCTTCATTGGTGGGTCGTCACCACCATGGTTCCTGGGGCTATGGGACGGACGTGTGTGCAGGATTCGCTCAGAGGCACCTCTGCCCTGACACTGTCCCTGTGGGTGTCGTGTCCCCTGGCTGCTGCATGGAGTGTGTCAGCCTTGGTAGTGTCCCTGTTGCCCTTCCATCCTCTGCTCTGAGAAGGTCCTGTGGCCACTGTGTTCCCCTCCGTGTCCGTACGTGGACCAGGGCACTGCTGTTCCTGGCAGTCCATCTGCCATCGGCCCTGCAGGCCTGCCTTCCCGGCCTCTAATCCCAGATCCTGTGTGTGCCTCGCTGTGCACAGGAAAGAGACTGAGTCCTGTCAGCCTCCCCCAGCCCTGCTCACCTGTGCTGGCCCAGGGTGCCGACAGGTGATGGTGGTCAGCCTCCCCCAGCCCTGCTTACCTGTGCTGGCCCAGGGTGCCGACAGGTGATGGTGGTCAGCCTCCCCCAGCCCTGCTCACCTGTGCTGGCCCAGGGTGCCAACAGACAGTCGTGAGGTCTGGGAACGGACAGCTGTGCCCTCCCTGGCCCCTGCCCTGCTTCCTCATCTTGTCTCACCGTGTGAGCTGGGCTCCCAGGACGCTGTCGGGAAGGGCAGGAGAGGGGCGTCCTTGGCTTGCCCCCGACCTTGGGGGGAGAGCTTCAGTCTCCTTGGTGAACACGGCGGCAGCGGTGGGTTCGGCAGATGCTCTTCACCAGGTTGAGGGAGTTTCCCCTCTTCCCCGTTTGCTGAGAGTTTTGATCACGAACAGTGTTGGGTTTTGTTTGGTGCTTTCTGTGTATCCAGTGACGTGACCACGGGTTTCCTTCAGCCCTTGACACGAGCCGGTCGGTTTTCAGGTCCAGCCCCGCACACCTGGGTGAGCCCACCTGGCGGTGGCGGTAACTATACCCTGTTGGGTTCCACCTGCTGTTGTGTTGCGAGTTTCTGCACCTATGTCTGCGAGAGACACCGATCTGCAGCTTTTTTTCTTATAACGTGTTTGTCTGGTTTACGGGTTGGGGTGAAGCTGGCCTCGCAGAATTAGCCAGGAGGGTTCCCTCCGTTCTGTCTTCCGGCAGAGGCTTCCTTTCCAGGGGGTGGACTCACCAGTGGACCCTTTGCTTGTACTCTTTCTAAGGCCTTTGTTTTTATGTCCCAGGCGTAGTTTTGTTTGTGAACCAGTCTGAATTTTTTGGTAACAGGTGAGTTAAGCTCAGTGACATATTTTGTTTCTTTTTTCCTCCCACTTTCCCCTCTGCTGGCGTGAGGCTTAGAGACCAACCTTCCCTCCTGTCCGCGGCGGCCTGGCTGCTCTCGCGGCCCGTGGGGCTGCCTGCGCGGTGGGGGTTACACCTCACACCTGCATTGTTTTTGCTCAGCCCGTTGGACTCGGTGTCCCAGCAGCTCCCCGCCCTGAGCGGTACCGTGTGACCCTGGTCTCCCAGTTCACAGCCCATAACCCAGGGTGGGGTCCTCATTCCGTCCTCGCTAACCCCGTGCACCACGCTTCCCCGTGGTCTCTCGAATGTCTGCCTGCCTCTTTTATGTGCTTGTCCTGTGTTCCCACTGTGTGTCCTGCGGGTCAGGCTCCCCTTGAAGGCACCTGGGTCCTGAGGCCTCTGTCTCCTCCTGCTGGAGGGGGCGACATCAGAAGTGGCTGCTGGAGGCCTGTCCCCGCCCTGCCTGCACCTGCCTTAGGGAGCTGGTGTGTCTGGGGGTTGGGACGTGTCCTCTGGGACTCGGAGGAGGTGAGTGTAAATCCCGCACCGTCCCCTTGGCCTGTCCCTTGCTCTCGTGTCTGCTCTCCTGCGTGTTTGACAAGTCATCGTTTCCCTTTCAGTCTGGGGGAGCGGAACGGAGGGCAGGGGCAGCTTGGGGCCACTCGGGGCCTGGGTTCCCGGGGCTGCTGTCACAACACACCTGACGGCCATTCCCTCGGGCGCTTGGGGCAGGCCTGTCCCCGGCGTCCGTCCAGCTGCTGGTGCTGTGGGCGTCCCTGCTTGTAGCCACGTCACTCCAATCTCTGTTTTAAGTGGCCTCTCACACAAGGGTGCTTGACACTGGGTGTAGGGCCCACCAGCAGTCCCAGGTGGTCTTGTCTTAGATCCTTAACTCAGTACAGCTCCAAAGATCTTTCTCCAAATGGGCTCGGCTCACAGGCTCCAGGTCAACGTACAGAGGGCTCCCACCTTGGGCCCTCTGTCCATCACTGGGCAAGGCCTGGGCGTCCCTGCTTCCTGCTGAAAGCTGGTAGGACCTGGGACCAGGGAGGGTGGAGAGACCCTGCGCCAGAGTCCAGATAGTCACTGACCGCATGTGGCCCTCGGTGGTGACCCTTGCTCTCACCCCAGCACCCGCCTTCCCACAGAGGGGGAGGGAGAGCTTGGGGCAAGCTCGCATCGGAGCTGGAGAGAGGGTTTTCCTCAGGGCCTCGCCCTCCGCACCCGGCACCAGTCCTGGTTCTGTCCCTAGTCAGGGCGTTTCCCTGATGGAGCAGCAGGCCGGGGCTGCACCTGTGACTGTGGAAGTCTGTGCCCAGGGGGCATGGCTGCACCTGCTTGGGGGGCAGGCCTGTGTCTGAGACTTGGGGGGCTGTTCTGGGGGAACATCTGTGTTGGGAAGTTTGTGTCTGAGGACTGAGTCTGCGCCATTCACTTCTGGGGGCTGAGCTCTCCCCTGAGGGGCAGGGCCTGTGGCCTCACTCGGCCATGTCCTGGGCTGGCCTCAACATTCAGGCAGTGTGTCTCGGAACTTTCTGGGTGTGTGCAAGTGTCCCAAGCGTTAGGATGCTCACAGGTGCACCTCTCTCAGCACAGGAAGTCCTGGAGAACCTCAAAGACCGCTGGTACCAGGCGGATAACCCTCCGTCAGACCTGCTGCTGACCGAGGACGAGTTCCTGTCCTTCCTGCACCCTGAGCACAGCCGTGGCATGCTCAAGTTCATGGTCAAGGAGATCGTCCGGGACCTGGGTGAGGCCAGTCCCATGGCCCTGCCTGCCGAGGGGAACAGCGGGGCGGGGGGGCTCGCTGTCTGCTCGGCCCCTCCTCGCGCGAGGTCATTGTGGGTGGGTCCCAGGCCAGGGTGGCCTCGGCTGGCTCTGAAGGAAACCCAGCCTTGTGAGCACTGTGGGGCCTCAGCCAGGTTTCCAGCTGGTCCGTGAGGCTCGGCTGTTTGGCTTCAGTCAAGTGTCACGGGCACAAAACCCACTTGGTTGGCTCTTTTCCATGGCCCTGGGGGTCCTGTGCCCACTCGAGTTCTGTACACCCTCCTCCCGTTGTCCCCAGACCAGGACGGCGACAAGCAGCTCTCGCTGCCCGAGTTCATCTCCCTGCCTGTGGGCACCGTGGAGAACCAGCGGGGCCAGGACATGGATGACAGCTGGGTGAGAGACAGGAGAAAGGAGTTTGAGGAGCTGATTGACGCCAACCATGATGGAGTCGTGACCATGGCAGAGCTGGAGGTGAGCGCGGGGGCCCCATGGATGTGCCCGTGCCCGTGTGAGGTCATCCTGAGCCGGGAAGGCAGTTAGTCACTTGGTCACTTAGCGGGACCTGGAGCAGCTGAGCCTGTGTAACAGCCTGCCTCTGATGGCCGCAGGCTCCCGGGGAGGCCCCACCAGCCAGCACCGTTGGCCTTCACGCCCAGCAAGGTAGCCCTGCTGTCCCCTGGGTGTGGGTGCCTGGGGGACACCGCTAGTCCTGGCTCTGAGAAGCTGCTGTCCGTCGGGGGTCAGGGCCAAGGGTGTGGGTTGGAACCTTCCTGTGCACCGTTGCACCCTCGTGTGTAGGTGCCTGTGGAGGTGTTTTCCCTTTTGGGTGAGTCATTTTGTTTTACGTGAGAATTCTCTGATCCTGGTGATAGCTGGGGGGCAGCTCTGGGTTAGGGGTTTCTGTCTACACCGCAGTCCTGGGGGCCCATTCTATCCCTGTCCATGTGACCGACAGGCCCCTGGCTCCATGCCGGGCAGGGCCCCTCCCCCACCCCCTTGGGTCAGCGGAGGAGGTGCCCATGGCCCTGAGCCACTGCCAGCCTGGCGTCTGTCTTCCTGAACGTTCCCGACATCCCCGCGTCCCTGTGCTGCGGGAACTCTGGCAGGTGCCATAGAGAAGGCAGAGCTGCTGTGGCAGTAAAGCCCAGTGGCTTCCTCGAGGCCACGGGCGCTGACCCTGGCCAGGCGTCTGGTGGGTGGGGTGTGTCCCGGGTTCTTGCGGCCAGGCCGGGTGGGTGCTGACAGGTGTGGCGCCCTTGCAGGAGTACATGGATCCCATGAACGAGTTCAACGCCCTCAACGAGGCGAAGCAGATGATCGCCATTGCAGACGAGAACCAGAACCACCACCTGGAGCCCGAGGAGGTGCTCAAGTACAGCGAGTTCTTCACGGGCAGCAAGCTCATGGACTACGCCCGCAACGTGCACGAGGAGTTCTGAGTCCTGCGCGCCGTGTGTCGTGTGCCTGATGCAGCATTCGCCGTGTGCAGGAGTCCCGCGTAGTCGCTGCATCTCGCTTCTGAGAACTCGAGCCTCGGGGGGGCCTGACCACATCGGGGCCTGTGGGCTCGCTGCCGTGGGAAACAGCACGGCTCCCGGCCTCCTTGAGGCTGCGAGGCTGAGGGGGTGACTGTGCTGTTGGAATCCAGTGTGGCGGCGGGCGGCGGCCGAGAGCTGCTGTCACCGTTCAGTCTCCAGGAAAACACACCTGTGGCAAGGATCACTCTAACTTACTTCGCAGTGTAGCCCCTCTTTCTCCCAGCTTTATCTTTTTGGTGGACAAAAACACATAAACGGTAATTTCGAACATTTGTGGCCAGGTGGCTTCCCCTTGGTGTTTTTGAGGCGGGGGACGGGTTAGAGTCCTGCACTCGAGTGTGGTGTCGTGTACTGGGTTGGCAACGGGATGGGGGCCACTCCAGGGGTGTGAGGGAGGCAGGGTCCAGGTGGGGCCGCCCTTGAGGGGCCAAGAGGGAATGGCAGTTCCAGGTATAGAGGGTCATCTGGGGACAAGCTGTGGGCCACTGCTTTAGGGCTGGGGCAGGGTGGGGGACAGGGGGGCCCAAAGGGGCCTGGAGCCTGGGGACAGGAGGGAGTGGAGGCTGCTGGTGGGCCAGATTATCCTCTGTCTGCAGTCCCACCACTCTGTGCTCCCTGTCCAAGACCTTCCTGGTGTGTGGGGAAAGAGGATCAAGCTCTGAGGGTTTAAATGACAGGATCCCTGATCCCACCCACCTAGTAAGTGGCCACCTCCCAGCACCTGGTCCACCCGCTGGTCCCTCCTCGTAGCCTGTGGTGCCTCAGTGCTCAGCTCACTTGGCCCGCAGGTTGGCTCAGGCCTTCGAAGGTCCTGCTGGGGTGGTCTGCTCTGGCCTGAGCAGGGGCCACCCTGAGCTGCCCCCTTGCCACAGGGACCCACTTCCAAGCAGCACGGGGTCGGGGCCGCCACAGAGGAGCCGGCGAGGTAACACCTGGGTTTCCAGGCAGACGCAGCAAAGACTTCTCAGAACTAAGACAGGAGCTGGGAGCTTGTGGGAGGGAGGTTGCAGTGGGCCAGGCCCCAGGGGCGGGGGTGGTGAGCAGGCCTGAGCTCGTACAGATGTGGCCTGAGCACCTGGCCAGCTGGACCACAGGGTGGAGGCTGCGTGACATGCAGCTCTCGTGCCCACGGGTCACCGTGAGCAGACGCCCTGGGCGTGGGCTGGAAGTGCCGGACCTCGGGCAGCAGAGACCCACACTGCCGGAGAACAGGTGACCTCACGAGGCCAGGGAAGGAGTGGGTGCTGCCGCCAGGCTCCGTTGCCTCGGAGAAAACACTTCTTTCAGCGTCAGCGGGAGATGGGACAGGCGCACACGCACCGCGCACGCCAGGCTGCCCAGTGCCCTGCCCCCCCGCGGGGACCCTCGCTGCAGAGGCTCAGGGAGGCTGACCTGCTGCGGCGGCCGTGTCGAGGTGGAATTTCCCGGAGGTGGGCCGGGAAACGGCTTTACCTGAGCTGCTCAGGAGGAGGGGACTTTCCAGGCTTTCGTCCCTGTGGGAGGCTTCTCTGTCTGAAACTTCTCAGATTAGCTGTCTAGGTATCTTGTGCCAGGGGCAAGATTCAAAATACGAAAACAACCTGCGACGCCTCCCGTGCCTCGGGCACCTGGCGGTACCGGACGCGTGTGCGTGCCTGTGCACACGTGTGTCTGCTGCGTGCACGTGTGCATGCATGTGCGCGTGCGTGCCTGTGCTCTTCCGTTACACACCGTAGTGCCCACCTGTCCTGGGACCGCCCGGTCCACGTCTGAGGACACGACGCGCCCCAGGATGGTTGAGTGGGCCACCCAGCCTGCCCCAGTGGACCCTGGGAATGCCCGGGACCAGGGCTCAGCCACGCTGGTGGTTTGTCCTCGAAGGGCCCCCCCAAACAGGCCCAAGTGCCCTCGGGAGCAGCCATACTCACCCCAGCATGCAGGCCAGACACATGCCACACGGACACGGACACGCACACACGGACACAGGCCCACACGTGTTCCCAGGCCACGTCACGCCCAGGAGAGGGAGACGCCTGCTCAGCCCCACGTGCTGGGTGTGGACTTCGACATCCAGGGGTCAACCAGGCTGAGGCCTCTCCTTGGCGTGCAGACGGCCACCTGCCTGTGTCCTCATGTGGCCGTCCCTCTGTGTGGCTGTCCTGGGGTCGCTCCCTCTTCTTGCAACGACGCCAGTCCTGGGGCCAGGCCCCTCCCTCATCTGACCTTAATCACCTCCAAATATAGCCACCGTGGGTGGCAGGGCTTCAACATCTGAATTTGGGGACAGAGCAGAGCAGTCCCTCCTACCTGCTGTGCTCAGACATACCTGGCTGCTCCCAGGCACCTGCTCTCCCAGCTGCTGGCCGCTGCGTCGGTCCCAGCTGGTCCTGAACCCCCGGGCGGGTGATCACGCTCTGGAGCCGGGGCACCCCCTCTGCCCCTGCAGCTGGTGCTGAAGGAAGGTCCTGACCTCGTGTGCTGCCTTGGTTTCCCTGTGTGCCCTGCGCCTTCTGCTCAGGGTTGCGGGTTAGCGTTCATAGTCCCCCCCACTCCTCCCGACGGGTCTGCCCTGTGCAGGGACAGGGTGCCCTGCCCAGAAGGAGCAAGCGTGTGCGGGGCCCTGAGATCACCCTGTCCGGGCAGCTTGGCCGGGCTGGGCGGTGGGCAGCCAGGCACCCAGCCGCAGGGGCTCCGCTTCCTGGTGAGATGGTGTGGGAGGGCTGATGGGTGGGGCGGGTGCAGACCAGATGCGGGGGGCCCTGGCCTGGCCCTGGGGGGTTGGGGGCTGTGGGTCCTCACTTTGGCCCCCAGTCTGCATGTGGCGGGAGGGCTGAGCCTGAGGTCAGTGGGCACACTAGTTGAGGGGTACCCTTCTGGTTCCCTCCTCCTGCCCTCTCCGCCCCTCCCCCAGCTTTTATAGCCACATCCTGCAAGGAAAACACTCAGACTCCTGCACAGCTGGTGAGTGTAACAAAGATGTGTGTGGGTGCTCAGCGGCCCAGAGCACCCTGTTCAGCCCTCCTGCTCCTGGGGCTCATGCTGGGTGCTGCGGCCAAGCCCAAGTGTGTGGGGAACACCTACCCCAGAGGCAACAAGTGCTGCCACGATTGCAAGCCAGGTGAGTGGCCTGGCTGTGGGGTAGGGGAGGGGTGCCCGCAGGGACGCAGGGACGGGGGCGTGGAGGACATGGGAACGGGGAGACGGGTTAGGGGACCTGCGGGTGAGATGGGGGCACGGACATGGGGACGGGGCGATGGACACACCGGTGCTGCGAGTGCCACAGGTGTCGTGGGGACAGTGGACTCGGGGTGACAGGGTGGATGACGCTCCGGGGTGGCGAGGGACCTGGGACCAGGTCTTGAGGAGCCCTGACGCCCCCCCAGGTTACGGGATGAAGAGCCGCTGCACCGAGGACCAGGACACTGTGTGCCACCCGTGTGGACAGGGCTTCTACAACGAGGCCATGAACTACGAGGACTGCAAGCCTTGTACTCAGTGCAACCAGAGTGAGCGCCCCCCACCTCCGCCCGCCGAGACCACATTCATAGGACGCTCCGGGGCCCCCACAGCCGCAGAAACAAACCCCAAACCACAGCGGGGCTTGCTCCGCCCGGGGGTCCCCAGGGATGTCTCCCTCCTCCCAGGGGGCCGAGACTAAGTGGAGTTGGGGTGGAGCGCCTGTCGGCCACATGGCCTGTCGGGCCACGGAGGGTCCTGCTGGAGGCTGGGAAGGGAGGCCAGGCCGCCACAGGGCGTCCCTGGGCCATGTGGCCGAGAGGGACGCCGCATCCAGGGGCCAGAGGGAACAAGGAGCCACCAGGCGCCGAGGGGGCTGCGGGCCTGGGGGAGGTGGCTTTGGGCCCTGGGCCTGGTCCTCCAGCCCCTGACTGTGCCCCTCAGGAAGTGGGAGTGAAACTAAGCGGATATGCACACCTGTGAACGACACCGTCTGCAGCTGCCGGCCCGGCACCCAGCCCATCCACGGCTTCAAGCGAGGAGTCGGTGGGTGAGCCCGGGCCAGGGTCAGGTCCACGTCCCCCACGTCACATGCTGTGACCTCCCCCCCAGCACTCCTGACCCAGGCTGGCCAGGCGCCCCTCCCCTAAGATGTGGGTTCGGAGGTCGGGGGCTCCGGGTCAGGGCCAGTGGGTGGAATGTGGGCAGGGAGGGGCTCCCAGAGGCCTCGGGGGGTTGAGTGCCCAGTGGCACAGGCCCTGCCGCCACCGTCTGTGACAGACAGCACTGTCTTTGTTGCAGACTGTGCCCCGTGCCCCCCAAGACACTTCTCCCTGGGCAATAACGAGAACTGCAAACCCTGGACCAAGTGAGTGTCCCAGGGGCTGGATGGCTCAGGGGACCTGGGGGCCTGGGAACTGGGAGCCGGGCTCAGACTCCTGCTCGGCCCTGGCCCTGCCCAGTCCCGTCCCACCGTCCTTCCTGCTGGGCTGACGCAGGTGTGAGGCCCGCATCAGCCACAGCTGGGAGGCCCCTCTTTAGACATCGCGGTGGGGCAGGGGTTTGGGGTGAAGGGTCAGGAGGAGCCCGTGGGGGGCAGAGCGAGTGAGGGGACATGGGGGTGAGCAGTGGCCTTGCAGACCCTGCAGGCGGGGCTGAGGTTCCTGGGGGAGGGTGGCAGGGGCCTGCTTTCCGGAGTCGTGTGCAGCCGGAGGTGATGGCGAGGACGCAGCCTCCACAGTCCTGTCCCAGCCCTGGGCCGGGAGGAGTGGGGGGCGGGGGCCTGGCCTGATAGCACCCCTCCCCCTCAGCTGCACCTTGGCGGGAAAGCGCACCCTGCAGGCCGCCACCAGCAGCTCCGATGCCATCTGTGAGGACAGGACCCCTCCTGCCACCCTGCCCTCGGAGACCTGGGGCACCCCAGCCTGGCCCCCCACCACCCAACCCACCACAGCCTGGACCAGGACCTCACAGAGGCCCGCTACACCCCCCACAGAGCCCCCCAGGGGTAAGGGCACCTGGCCTAGCCCAGCAGGGCCCCCAACCCAATGGGGAGGGGGGCGTGGGTGGGACTGCCCTGGCCTCACACTGGTGGACCCCACTCCAGCAGTGCTGCTCCCTGCAGGCCCTGAGCTGGCCGCTGTCCTGGGCCTGGGGCTGGGCCTCGGCCTGCTGGCCCCCATCGCTGCTGCTCTGGTCCTGCTCCTGCACTACAGGGCCTGGAGGCCACTGTCCAACGCTGCCAAGCCCCCCGGTGAGTGCTCGCCAGCCAGCCAGACACCCTGAGGCCAGAGGCCCGGCCCGGCCCGACCCCACCTCCCCCTTCATCTCCCCTCTTCCCCAGGAGGAAACGCATTCCGGACCCCCATCCAAGAGGAGCACTCGGACGTCCATTCCACCCTGGCCAAGATCTGATGTCCGCAGGGATGGCGGCTGGTGCTCCAACCCAGGCTGGGTGGTGGGCGTGTCCCCAGGCCGCCACCCGCTGGCACCCCACCACCCCATCGGCTTCTCACCTCGTCACCCTATCACCCCCTTGGCTCGTGACCCCATCCCCCCGTCTCCGCGGCGCCCTGTCACCTGCCCTGCACCGTTCTAGGTGCTTCTGGGCTGGCACCTGGGCCCCGCTATGTATGCCATGCATACTCCCCGCCCAGGGCGGTGTCCCCAATAAACAGTGTTGGCTAATGTGGGTCTCTGTCTGGGTGCCCGTGGGCTGGGGCTGCACCTTCATGGGGAGGCTGGGGGCATCTGAGGCAGGGGTGTGGGGTAGGGGCTCAGTAGACCACTCAGGCCTGGGCACTGTCTTGCTTACCCTCTGGGCACATCCCAGAACCTGTGGGGGAACGTGGAGGTCAAACAAAGACCATGGGCAATCGGTCAACGAGATCCTGAATGTGGGCAGGTGGACCCGTGGCCCCCACAGCGAGGCCCACGGCCCAGGCCCGGGGGGGTGTCTGGCTGGGGTCCTGGGCTGGGTGCTCATGGAGCAGGGGGAAACCGAGGCCCTGTCCCCAAAGGGGGCGTTGAGGATGTCCCCAGCTCTGTGTTCCTCCCAGAGGGCCGAGGGCAGCTTCCTCCCCCCCAGCCCCTCAAGTCCCACACCTGCCTGAGTTTGTGGTGACCCGGACCCCCACCTATGCCTTCAAGGGCCCCTCAGTCTCTGAGGCTGCTTGGTGCCCTCTGGGTGCCCAGGGCCCAGCGCCGCCCGGGGCCCTCGTGAGTGGCCGTGCTCCCAAGTCCTGCAGTCAAACGCCGCTCTGGGAAACTGGAGGTGCCTGACGGGACATGAACAGAAAGGTCCCAAAGTGAAAACCCACCCTGGCCGGTGCGGCTCAGTGGTTAGAGTGTCGGCCTGCACACCGAGGGTCTCGGGTTTGATTCCTGGTCAAGGGCGCGTACCTGGGCCCCAGGTTCACTCCCCACCCCAGTCGGGGCACGTGTGGGGGGCACCAGTCGATGTGTCTCTCACATCGATGTTTCTCTCCCGCTCTCTTCCACTCTCTCTGAAAATCAATGGAAAAATATCCTCCGGTGAGAATTAACAACAAAAAAATTTTAAAAAGTGGAAATCCAAACGTCCACCGGTGGCCAGGTGGACAGAGACATCGCGGCATGTTCAGACAGGCCGCTGGCCAGCCCTCAGGGACAGCACTCCTCTGTGTGCAGCGTGGACAGGCCGCTCGTGGTGTTTTGGGAAGGAGACCAGCCCGCGATGGCCCCTCCGGGCCGCGTCCTGAGTGCACATGGCCCCGCCTCAGCGTCCCTTCCAAGGAACTGAAGGCAGAAAGTGCAGCGGAAGCTGGGATCCAGCCGTGGAAACGCCGACGGGAACTGTGTGAGACCAGCCAATGTGAGCGAGACCACGAGCCACGGCGGGAGGTGGGGCCCCCCTTCCGCGCCTGAGACACACTTAGGAGCTACGGCGAAGGACTCAGAAACGAAGCACTCCACGCATGAGCGAGCCTACTGGGTGCGCTTGGCAAAGACTGGGGGAGCCCTGCTCGGCTGCAGCCCCCCGTCCCCTCCCGTCTCACTGCTGGGGTGTCCTGCCAATGGGAGCTCCCTGCGTGCCGTAGCCCCCGGCACCCGGACCGCGGTGTACGCAGCGGGGAGGACTCTGGGCTCTGGTTTTGGCGGAGCCTCAGCACCCTGCCCTCGAGCCGGCTATTTCGCCCCTAAAGTCAGCCTCCAACCTTTCCCTCCTCAAACCTCTGACCCCCGTCCCTGGACCCTCCAGCTGCGAAGGGAAGGAAACCACCCTCCTCCCGGCAGCGGGTGCTCGCTGAGCTCCCACAGCGAGAAACAATGCGATAGCCATTGACGTGGGGACGGACAGTGGCCCCCACGTGGACCCTGAGGGATCGGCCAGACCTTGGGGCTTGGAAGGTCGTGGGGAAGGGCTTCCTGCCCGAACTCACCCCGAGCCCAGCTACCCCACGTCTGCCCTGGGACAGATGCGTGGACAGGGGGTGGTCATCTCCTTGTAGCTTCTACACACCCCTCGCCCATGCCTGGCTCTGCTGACAACCCCGGACCTCCCCCTCTCCCGGCCCTGCCTGCGTCCCAGGCCTGGGTGTTGAGCTGTGTCCCGCTGGCCCCCTCCCCGCGCCTGGGAGCCCATGGGCGCCCGCCCGCATGTCCCCACCTGGCGCCCCATCCGACCCTGTGGGGCGCCAGCTCTGTCTCTGCACCCTCCCCGGCCCCCAGCCCTTCTGCTAAACGCCAGACTCCCCCGTGGGACCCTCACTGCCCTGAGCTCCGGTTACTTCTAAGCTGAAATAAATGATTCAAAAACAGGACTGCTTCTGAGATAACGGAAAATGGAAATAAGCAGATAAGCGCCTCGCGTCCCAGTGCCCGTCACGGAAACCACACTTGCCGAGCGGCCTTCCCCAGCGGCTGGAACAGGAAGGAAGGCATGGTGCGGATGTCTCCTGACGTCACCCTTGGCTTTTTAAGACCTCGCTCGGTGGCTGTGTGGTCAGGTAACCTGGCGCTTTCGTTGCCGTGGTGCTGCAGGTGGGGGCAGCGGCTTGGCCCCCGGCCCACCTCTCCGGTGGACTTTTTCTGCAGATCCCTGCCCGGCCCAGCTGCCCCCTTGCCACCTTCACCCCCCCCCATAGCCAGTTCCAGAAGGTTCTAACCGTCCCCACTTCCAGAAGGACCGAGTGACGCAGCACACGGTCCGACAAGCATCCCTGCCGGGGATTTATCGTATCATCTGGGCCGCAGGGTACTGGGTGCGAGCCAGAATCGGGTGGCCCGTGCGAGCAGACCTCACCGCTCATGCCTTTAAAATGAGCAGTGGCAGGCGGTCCCGCGAGGCCCGAGTCTCCACTCAGCACCTTTACCTGGCGTCCAGGTATGACCAGGCGGCCTCCCTTCCCCACCCAGCTCTCAGGCCCACCTCCCCCTAGGAGCTGAACGGAGGTCTCAGGGCTCCCCGCCCACTGTGCCCGCCGAGTCCCTGGCAGCCACGGTCCCCCTGGCGACTCCTCCCTGAGGAGGGCTCGTGCATCTCGGGATGGAGAACAGCGTTGAGTCACAGACCGCCAATTCCGGCCTTTTCCCTCAGAAAAGGAACTGCTGCCCCGTGCAGGTCTCAGAGGGGCTTGAGCCAGGTCTCCTGCGTCTGCCCGTGTCACAGCCGGCACCCCCAGCCCGTGGTGGCACCCAGGGCACGTTCTTGAGGCCCCGCTGCCACCCCCAGTGTTCCCAGCAGTCTTCCCCAGCTCCCCTGTGCCGAGCCTCAGCTGGAGGGCTGGGAAATAAAGCCGAGCAATACAGGCAGCCTTCCCGGAGGAGGTGGGCTCCAGAACCCTTCAGTGCCACATGGGGAAACTGAGGCTCAGAGAGACTAGGGACCTTTTCAAGGTGGGTTGGAGGCTGTTCTCTGTGGCTCAAGGGCTCTGTCAGGGGCTGGCCCTCCACAGCCTCCAGGATGACCAGGTTTGTCCAGGGAGATCTGGGTTGGACCATTCAGCAGAGTTGCAACCAGACAGGCCTCCTCTGGTCCAGGCTTCAGGCGGCTGGAGCTTCGGTCAACGCCCTGGCCTCTCCTCTCCAGCCCTCCCCACACCCTCCCGAGTCCTGAGGGGCTCCCTCAGTTGGGACGGGTGAGGGGCTCCCCCAGGGGCTCTGAGCCCTGGGCAGGGGGCCCGCAGGCTGCAGCCCATGGGGGTGTTTGGGGCGCCCCAGTCTGCTGGGTGCTGAGCTTAGAGCTGAGGTCTGGAGGGTGTGGCCATGCCCAGGGCAGGTGTGGGCTCTGGGGCCTGGGGGCTTCCTGGAGGACCAGGGAGAGCTTTAAAAGCCCGTGCCCCCCCACCCCCAGGAAGCTGAAGGTGGGAGGGGGCTCAGCCAGGAGCCAAGGGGTACAGCAAGGGAACAGCCCTGGCCGAGTTCCACCTGCATGGGGGGTCTCCTCTCGAGCCCACCTGTGGGCACTGCCCACCCTCCACGGCTCAGGGCCCAATCTGCCACCCACATCCGGAGCCCACCCTGCTGCCCTCCTGCCCGCAACCCATCTCTCCGGACCTGGCGGTCACAGGTTTTGCATAGATAACATCTCAGACCTCTGCTCTGCCCACAACCCCGCTGGGGACGTCTGGGCAGGAGTTCCTGGGCCAAAGGGCGCAGACACTTAGGACCCCCCCCCAAGGTCACCCCACATGTGCCTCAAGCTCAAGTGGTCAGGTGCTGGGTGGGCTCCGTTAAATTTTAAAAAAATAGACTTTGTTTTTCAAAGTAGCTTTAGGTTCACAGCAAAATTGAGGGGCAGGCACAGAGATTTCCCCACCCACACAGCCTCCCGGACTATTGAGGTCCCCACAGGGGTGCACGTGTCACGGCTGAGAACCTGCACTGACCGGGGTCCTGTTTACGTTAGGGTCCCTCGGTGCTGTGCGTTCTGTTCACATTAGACGGGTAGTGCCATGTTCGCCTAGATTTGAGCTGCTGCGTGTTGGGGGTCCCCTCCCCACTTGGGCGTGGCTGAGGCCGGGCGTCCTGCTGGGCTGTGGGGCGGGGTCTGGGCGTATCCAGTGCCGGCGTTTTGGAGCCTTTAAAGGCCCGAGCTCGCAGGGCGATGGGTGCCATGGGAGTGAGGGGCGTGCGGGCCGCCCTGTGGGGCGCCGCTCTGCTCTGCGTGCTGGGCCTGGGCCAGCACTCCCCTGGGGCCCGGAGCTGCGGCCCCGGCTGCGTTCTGCGGGGCACCGGGGAGGGTGCACGCTGCTGTGGCTCCTGCGTCTCAGGTAAGGCTCTGGGGGCGGGGGGACGGCAGCTGGACTCCGGGCGCAGAGCCGGAGGCAGTCAGTGGGCAAACTTTCCAGGTCCAGAGCTCGGGGCCCAGCGCAGTCCCCGAGGAGGTGGAAGTGCGTCCCGCCCAGCCGGTGGCCCGAGGCTGGGGCCAGGGGCCAGGGCTGTGGAAGCCCTTTCCAAGAAGGGTCTGGGGTCCCGATTCCTACCAAGCGGGTAATGAGTCCTTGGTCATCACCGAGGCCACTTCTTGCCCAGTTTGGGGTCTCAGCTGCTCTTTCTGCCCCCCCCCCCACCTGCGGCTGCGGGAGAGGGGCAGGTGGAATGTACCTGTCTGGGGACAAATATAAAAGGGGAAACACTCCAGAGCATCACCCTGAGGGGTCCTCAGGGTCC